CTCCTTCCTCTCCTCTCTCATTTCCAAAGCTTAACTTCATTGTCTCAAGCCCCTCTCTGCTTTCATCTTAAGACAAAGATTTATGTAAATCTTTGGGCCGGCGTTAATGCGGAGCGCCTTGTGAGAAATAGCATCCCTAAATCGTGGCATTGTTGTTGAAAATGACAAGGCAGGCCCGTTAATCCTACAATGCGATCATCCAAATGTGTCATAATGCTGTGTGTAGGCAGGCGAATCTGAATATCAAAAAGCCGCCGCGCACCTCTTATGCGGCGCCTTCAGGACTTCCAGCACTAACGGCTCTTCTATCTCCTCCTTCCTCTGCCTCCTTTAAAGAACTCACCCTGCTTTGTCACTTGCATTCAAAACACCGGAATAAGAAACGTAAAAAAAAAACAGCCTCGGTCTCGAGTTAGTCGCCGAGCAGGAACACTCCTCACATTTAGCTTCACGTCTCCAGGCTTTGATTCACGCAGATAATAACAAACCACGTTTGTGGAAAGTGACTGTGATTAGGAGTCGGGATCGATCGGTATAGCCTCCGCTTTGTCACCGAGACGTATTCATCGCAGGAAAGAGTAATGCCAAGCTTTGTGGCAGAACAATGCACAGAATCAAASAGGAACAAAAGACGGCGCGTTGAGTACACTCACTTCACGTTCTGGAGCAGCTTGTTTTTTATTTACAGAAGGAAGTGGACAGATTGATGGGGAARCTGATGAAGAGGTGAAGCAGAAACCGAGCAGCTCCGTTTTTTTTTTTGTTTTTTTTTAGAAATAGGCATCAAACAAGTGCCAATCAGATTTTACAGAGACGAGGACGCTGCATGATGGCGTTAATATTTAGACTCCTCCCTCACTGGTCACCACCTTTCATTCCAGACTTCTAAACTAAATCATCTTAAACGTCTTAAACATTTTGGCCACCTTGAAAATAACCAGAGTTGTAAAGTAACTAAGTACAAATACTTCTTTACTGTACTTAAGTAGAATTTTTGGGTACCTGTACTTTACTCGAGTAATTTATTTTCAGCCTACTTTTTACTTCTACTTCTTAGATTTTCACACAATTATCTGTACTTTCTACTCCCTACATTAAAATATGGCAAGAAATAGAAAGTTGTTACTTTTATTTCATTTTTGCTTGTTTTCATTCCAGCTTGTTATTATAAAAAATAAAAAC